AGCCGGACTCTGAGCCACATCAGTGAGGCCAGTGTGGACGCTGCCTTGACTGAGGCTTCAGTGGAGGCTCTGGGTCTAGAAAGTCTAGCTCAGGGACCTAGCCAGCTTGCAGACCCAGATCCCACCCATGGGGAGCAATCTGGTCCTGTCCCTCCTGCTGTGGACCCTTCCCATTCTGCCATAAGCCCCACCCTCAGTACAACAGGCCCTGCCCACACATCTACAGACCCTGCGCCATCAGCACATCTAGACTTGGTTCACAAGATCACAGATTCTAGCACTGCTGACCTGCCAGACCCCACCCATACCACTACAGGCTCTACCTATAATACCATTAGCCCTAGCCACAGTGCTCCAAGCCCCATTCACACTACCACAGGTTCCACCCACAAGCCGCTGGTCTCTCCACTCACCACTACAGGCTCTACCCCCAATGCCACAACCCCAGTGCAGACCACTACAAGACCCACTGACAAAGTGATACTTTCCATTCTCACTGCTGTAGGTCCTACCCCCAATACTACAGGCCCAGTCCAGACCACCACAAGCCCCGTCCACACTACCATAAGCCCTACCCATACTACTGCAAGCCTCACCCAGACCACTATAAGCCTCACCCATACTACTGCAAGCCCTACCTATGCCACTACAAGCCCCACCCATACAACCATAAGCCCCACCCACACCACTGCAAGCCCTGCCCATACCACTACAAGCCCTACTCACAAAGCCAGGATGTCAACTCACACCACTACAAGTCCTACCCCCAAAGCTAAAGGCCCAGTCCAGAACACTGGGAGCCCCACCCATCCTGTCACAAGCCCCACCCTTATAACTGTAAGCTCTTCCACTTCTTTAGACTATGCCATGCTTCCCAGCCCCTCTACAAACACAGACTCTACTCTCCCAGGCACCCACACCTTGTCCTACGGCTACCCATCTTCCACTCCTTGCACTCAGGCAGACTCCATAGCCCCCAGCACTTCCTACCCAAGTCCCGCCTGTTCCAGTTGGGAACCGCTCACAAGTCCTTCCCCAGACCCACCAGAGCCCATCCTTCGAAGCCCAAGTCCCCCTCCCTCACCTCTAGCCCCTATGCCTCAGCATTTAGACCTTAGCCCGGATGTAGCCCCCCGGGCCCCAGTTCCAGGGGCTGCTGGAAGGGCTGGGGATAGGAGGCTGGAAGAGGCACTGGGGGCCCTAATGGCTGCCCTGGATGACTATCGTGGCCAGTTCCCCGAGCTGCAGGGCCTGGAGCAGGAGGTTACCCGGCTGGAGAGTCTGCTCATGGTGAGGAGGGCCGGGTAGGCTGCAGCAGCACCGGGAGGGCAGCCAGGCAGTGGGAGGTAGCACTGACTCCCTTCACAACCCCAGCAGAGACAAGGCCTGACTCGCAGCCGGGCCTCCAGCCTTAGCATCACTGTGGAACATGCCCTGGAGAGCTTCAGCTTCCTCAACGAGGATGAAGATGAAGACATTGATGGTCCTGGAGACAGGTGAGGGTGGCCAGGTGAGGGGGAAGAGGTAAGATGAGTGCCAAGTGAAGGAGAAAGGCCAGAAAGGGGAACAGGTGAGGTGGGGCCAGGTAGAGCACACAAGGAGAGCAGCAAGACTGGAGGTGGGCAGAAGGGGATGTACTTGCCAGCTTCTGCATCGTATTCACTCCATCCCCCCACGTCCGTGTAGTCCTCATGTGTCCTTGATGCCTGTTTCTAACCCCATCTGTGTCCCCAGTGCTTCTCACCTCCCTCCTGGTCCCTGCAATGCCTGCCTCTCCTGCTGGTCCCTGTCAGCTGGTGATCCTGCAGCTCCTCCTCTTTCCCCTGGCCTCACCTTGGATCTTCCCTATGAACAGGCCCCTTCAGTGCCTCCCCATGCACCCTGGGTCCCCCAGCACCAATCCCCTCTGTCTCAACCCAGGCTTGCCCGGAGAACCCAGCCCCTTGGCTCTCTGTCCCAGAGCAGCCTTTGCCAAATCCCGGTTGAGGGTTGTACCCAGCCCCTCCTTCCTCTGCTGCTGCCCAGGCTAGGGCCCTGTGCCCTGCACCCTTTGGGCCATAATCCCTTGCAGTCCACGTTGCATAGACCATCCCGCCTGCAACCCTACTCCCACCCACCCCAGCCCCAGTGGTCTCGGCCATTGTAGCTGGAGGTGGTAAAAGGCAGACAGACCCTGGAGATCCTCGCTACCACCTGCTGGTCCTAGTCCCCTCCTCCTTTTGGAAGTCTTCCATGAATTTACCCATTGTCTGCTGTCTGTACATCGTCTGTTCTTCCATTCTGGGATTGGGGGGACCTTAAATAAAAATATACTGGTGACCACATGGTGATGCTTGCTCCTGGGGTGGTTGACCCCATTTTTCTCTCAGGCCCCCAAACAGCCTGGAGCCTGGGGCTGAGGACAGCCTCGACTTAGCCAGTGCCCGCCCCCTCAGCACGGAGTGTCCAGCTCTGGACGCTGCCTTGGTCCAGCATCTGTACCACTGCAGCCGCCTCCTGCTGGTGAGGCTAGTGGTATTTCCCACACCCTCCTTTTGTAGCCCCTTATCCCAGGGAGCCCTGCACTTCAATCCCGACCCTCCATACCTCCTCTGATTTCCATTCCCCACTGCCCCAGGGCCCTAGCATTTGGTTCTTGCTGAGTGGAACACTTCCCATACTCTGGCTATCCCTGCCTTGCCATGCATGCCGGGACTTGTAGTCCCTGGGTTCCACCCTCCCCAGTCTTTCTCCTGAGGTCTTAGCTCCTTGGCCACCCCTATTCTCCAGAAACTGGGCACATTTGGGCCCCTGCGCTGCCAGGAGGCATGGGCCCTGGAGCGGCTGCTGAGGGAGGCCAGAGTGCTGGAGGCTGTATGCGAGCTTAGCAGGCGATGGGAAATCCCTGCCACCTCTGCCCAGGAAGGTAAAGGCCCTGTCTGCGCGGAAGCTCCTCCCTTACCTAGCCCCATCTACAGGCCTGTGTGCCCATCCACCTGCTCTGTTGCTGATGGTTGTCTGCCCTTCCTCATAGTGGTGCAGTTCTCAGCCTCTCGGCCCGGCTTCCTGACCTTTTGGGACCAGTGCGCAGAGGGACTCAGCCCCTTCATCTGCCCTGTGGAGAGAGTGCTTCTCACCTTCTGCAATCAATATGGTGCCCGTCTTTCCTTGCGCCAGCCAGGCCTAGCTGAGGCTGGTGAGTGGGCCGCCTACCTGCCCCCTCTGCCCTCCTTCCTCAGATCCCCAGTGATGAGACCTCAGGAGAAGCCAGGTCAGCCCACCCAGACGTGCTGAGCTGAGCACTAGGAGGAACTAGTGAAGGCTATCTCCTTTGCACAGAAGGACCCAGAGGTGTAGGGTTTGCAAAGAGGGACCCTGGACCTGAGTCTGAGGCAGGAGCATTCTTCCCTGTAAGCGTCTGGGTCCATCCAAACCCTGAGGCCCATGGCACTGCCTCCCACAGTGTGTGTCAAGTTCCTGGAGGATGCTCTGGGGCAGAAGCTGCCCAGGAGGCCCCAGCCAGGCCATGGAGAGCAGTTCACCATCTTCCAGTTCTGGAGTTACATTGAAGCCTTGGATAGCCCCTCTATGGAGGCCTTTGTGACCGAAACCGCCGAGGAGGGTGAGGCAGAGGCCCTGGTCACAAAGTGGCCTGACTCTGTGGGTGGTGAAGGTGTGGAGGTGTGGATGAGAGCACGAGTATAAAAAGACCCCACCCCACAAGGCTCCACCTTGTTCCCACCCTCCCTTTCTTCTTTCAGTGTTACTGGTGCGGAATTTGAACTCAGATGACCAAGCTGTTGTGCTAAAGGCCCTGAGGTTGGCACCAGAGGGGCGGCTGCGAAGGGATGGGCTTCGGGCCCTCAGCTCCCTGCTGGTCCATGGCAACAATAAGGTCATGGCTGCTGTCAGCACCCAGCTCCGGAGCCTGTCACTGGGCCCTGTCTTTCGGGAAAGGGTGAGAGTCAGGCAGGTCTTCCTTGAGGCAAAGGCTGGGGCCCCAGGCTCCCAGTATCTGGCTAAGTCTGCCCTCCCGGACTTACCCAGGCCCTATTGTGCTTCCTGGACCAACTGGAGGATGAGGACATACAGACAAGAGTGGCTGGTTGCCTGGCACTGGGTTGCATCAAGGTAACCTCTACCAGCCCATTCCCCCCCATATCCCTGCCAGCCCATCCCCTGCTTCACACCCCTGCTGCCTGTCCCCCCCTCTTCACACCCCTAGAGGCTCCCTCAGCCCTGGGCCCTGGGCCTTTCCCACCTGCTCCACTGGGCCCACCTCAATCTTCTCTCCCCTGGTAGGCTCCTGAGGGCATTGAGCCCCTGGTGTATCTGTGCCAAACAGACACAGAAGCCGTGAGGGAAGCTGCTCGGCAGAGCCTACAACAGTGTGGTGAGGCTAGGGGATGGGAGATATGGGTCAAGTAGAGTTCTGGAACATTTTGGCTGGTGGGAGTTGCAGTGAGTTGGTGTCAGGATGGGATGCAAGGGCCCAGATAGGGCTAGGATCACTCCTGATCCCATCCTTACTTATTACAGGGGAAGAGGGACAGTCTGCCCATCGACGGCTGGAGGAATCACTGGACGCCCTGCCCCGCATCTTTGGGCCTGGCAGCATGGCCAGCACCGCTTTCTAAATTTCCTACCCACTGGCTTCCATGCCTCTTCCCCTCACTTTCAGGGCTTACCAGGCACTGGCAGGGAGGGTGAGGGCTGGCTCCAGACACCTCTCCCCCACAGATTCCCACCAATTAAAATCTAATATATTCTTCTGTTCCCCTTGGGTTGGTAGAGTCAGTGCCTGCAGTCAAGTGCCTCCCAGCCTCGGCTCAGCACACTTGCCACAAATCAGTATCCCACCATATCCCTTGGTTTTATATTTTATTTACAGAGTTTTACAGAAAATAAAAAAGCAACATGCCTTTCCTAATGGCCTGGCCTGGTGCACTCCTGACCCTCTGCTCCAGCATCCATCCTCTGGCTATGGCCCTTCCTGACACTGGTGCTAGCGTATCTGCACTCCCAAATGTGACAATGGCATCTGCTTTAGCCCTGGAAATTCAGGCAAAAGAGAACCCAGAGGCTGGAGCTGGGGTTGGAAAAGAGAGCAGAGGAAGAGGGTGGTGGTAGGGTGTTACTGAGGAGGCCCAGTCTGGGTCCAGGCTGGAGCCAAACCGGAGTTGTCCTAGAGAAAGCCCAGAGGTGCCAGTCCCAGGAATGGCTGGCTCCCTAGCAGCTAGCTCCGGGGTCCTGGAGGCAGAGGAAGCTGGCAGGAGAAAGCGTGGTGGGACCTGGAGCTTCTGGCCAGAAGGGGGCAGCAGAACCCCGTCAGGGAATGCCAGGCTCCTGGATCTTCGCCCAGCCTGGGCAGCTTCCTACCAAGGTGGCTGAGCTAAGCACAGGGAGCTCCTTGAGGGCTGGATAGGAAGAAGGAACAGATCCTTGCAGAGGGGAAGAGCTGAGGCCTGGGAGGCAGGAAACACGGATGGCTGCCCCCGTGACCCTAAACAGCAAGCCTTTTCTCTCTCCAAGCTGCCTCTCCTCTCTGTAATAACAAACCCAACTGAACCCTGAGCTCCCCACCCCCAGCGGCAGGCCAACCACTGCTTCAGGAAGCAGGGCTCCAGGGAGAGGTCTCACCTCTTCCCAGAGGTGCCTGGCACGTGAGTGTGTTAACCCCAGAAGGTTAAGAATTCTGTTTTGGTGGGAAGGGGGTGGAGGCGGGGATGGGATTTCAGGATGGCAGGCCTGTTCCAAAGAGGTCCCGAGGGAGGCCCACACCCAAGGCTAGACAAACAGGCTGTCTACCCTTCCCCTCATCCTCTGGAGCTTTCTTTATCCAGGGGCAAGGAAAACAGGGCCTTTACCACTCCCTGAGCCCACTCTGGTATCTCAGTGTTAGCACAGTAGTGGGACACCGGGGAAAGTGTGTGTGCCTGGACTCAAGAGGAGCCAATGAGGTGCCAACAACCCCCCCACACCCTGGGGGAGAGAAGGGGGTGACCCAGATCCCTAGGGAGTCCTGCTCCCCAGTGTTTCAGAGCTGGGTATGAGGAGGTTTGGCTGGGTCTTTAACCACCTGCTGGGGAAGCCAAGCTGAGCAGAAAAACGGCCAACAGGAAGGAGCACAGGAAACACCTGTGTGTGGATGCAGGTGGCTCATTCCAGAAGAGTCGGGGGGCTGGGATGGGGGTGGGGGCAGGCAGACAGCCCTCAGCACATTGGCACAGCTATGTGCTCTTTCCGTAACTCTGAAGGGTGGCATGGAGGGGATGGTGGGTGGTGTGCAGCTCAACTTTTTGGGTGGTGGGCTAGGGTGGCAGGAGGTGGAGAAAGCGAACAAGTGATGGGGAGACCAAGGCAGCACCCAAAGTTGGCTACAGCTTGGGCCTGCCCCCAAGGGCCCCTGCAGGAATGTTGCAGTCCCAGAATTACCCCAAGGAGCCCCTCAGGCCTGAGGCCCCAAAGAGGCCCACTGGCAGGCAGGACTGTCCACTTGGATTCAAAGCGTAGCCTGTGTGATGGGGAAAGAGGAAGTGAACACTGACCAGGTCCTGGTGCAGACAGGGGTGACTGGGCTATCACAAGCTCACAGCTCAATCCACACAAGACAGGGGCTGGGCAAGAAGTAGAGGATGGAAAAATAACCCAGCCAGGGGTCAAATGGGGCTGTCAAAAATCTGAATGGCCTGCTTTCCAGTGCTGAGAAGGGATAGGGTTCCTAACTCTCTGTCCTCTATAAGGAGCACCGTAAGACCACAGCCTAGTATTCAGCTCTAGCTGAGGGTGGGTGTGAGGGTCAAGAGGCAGAATTAGGATACCGTGAGCAAAGCTGGGTACAGGTGAAGTACTGTCAAGGCCAAGGCAAAAAGAGCCTCAGGCCTTTGCCTCATCAAGCCTACCTAGCTCAGAGCAATGTGGATCAACCCCAGAACAGCCACTCAAACCCTCTCCATCAATGACTTGAGGTCGGGCTGAATGGTCTCCTACCCCTAGGCCCATGTTTGTGAGATAGTGGAGGGCAGGGAGAGCCTATCCTCCCTCTTGTACCTTTCTCTCTGCCAACAAACACAGCCTCACAAGTGCTTTCCACGGGGCACTCACCCCACCTCCTACCCTGCTGTCACACAGGTTCAGGGAGCCACTCATTCCTGCTGCCCCATGTGATGGGTGTGGGGGGCTGATGACACCATCAGAAGTCGAAGGTACCAGGGTAGGGAAAGCCTATGCCCAGGTGTCCTGCCGAGCCTGTGCCAGCCTCTGGGGGAACAGAGGAAGTGTGATACACTGAGGAGTGCCCCGTCCATCAAGCCCATCAAGGCTATAGCCATGCCTCAGCCATCATTGTTGGGGTTCCACCCAGACAAAACATAAATGCACATTGCAAAAAAGGGACCAGGCTGAGGTAGTCCAGGGTATAGTTTACTGGTGGTCACTGGGTCCTCCTGTTTTTCTTCTTTCCTCTTCTAATCTTACCTTTTCTCCTGTCTTCCACTCTTCTTCCTTATGTTTTCAAAGCTGTAGAGAACCAAAAAAAAAACAAGAAAGAAAAAGAGGCATGTTTGTGAAGGCAAAGAAGCAGATGGGTTGGCATGTGGGAAGAGGACTGCCTCTTTTGTCTCACCCACAGTGTGGGGGTGCCTTCCTTGTGTGTTTCTGTGCATGGTGTGTGGGTACAATTTGCTGAACCCTAGGCATATGACATGGTCCCTCCTCCCCCAACCCGCAGCCCCAGACAGCCATGGAGTATCCTATTCAGGCCATCCGCCTTCTTTGGCTGGGCTGCCGGACCTGGATCTTCTGGGCCTGGGTAATATGGAAGAGTGAGTTTGGTAAGGACTTCAGGGCCTATATAAATAGCTATGGAAGAGCAGTCTACCATTTATAAAATAAGCCTGTCATTGGCTTGCAAGAGAGTGGCCTCTTTTTTCAGAAGGTTGCAATGTGGTGATAGCCACATTTGAGTTGGGAGTTTGAGGTCAGTGGTCAAGTCTCACTTGTCTTAGAATACACCCATCGCAGATGGCCTCCCAATAAATGCTGACTTAGGAACACCTGGGTAGCTCAGTCAAGTGTCTGCCTTTTTTGGCTCAGGTCATAATCCCAGGGGCCTGGGATTGAGCCTCCATCTCCCTCCTCAGTGGAGAGTCTGCCCCGTATGCCCTTCCCCTGCTTGTGTGCTCTCTCTCTCTCTCTCTCTCTCTCTCTCTGTCTCAAGTAAATAACATCTTTTAAAAAATGCTTAGAGCCACTGAATAAGTAGCTGAATTGCTATCGCTAGTAAGTACGTTGCTAGCCATATCTTCTGAATCTCCTTAAAATTTTCTCTGCCACCTTCTCAAGCATCCTCTTACAAGCATCACGCCACAGGATGCCATTGTAGGCCCTGCTCCCTCTTGAAACACATTCCCTGAACTACCTCATCAATTTCTCTGGCTGCCATCTATAGGCTAAGGCTGTATGGCAATGATTCACATTGTCCTCTCCTCACTCCCATATCTAGCTGCTGACTGGACACCTCCTTTTGAAATGCTGAGGTATTTCTTTTTTTTTAAATTTTATTTTGTATTTATTCATGAGAGACACAGAGCGAGAGAGAGAGGCAGAGACACAGGCAGAGGGAGAAGCAGGCCCCACGCAGGTAGCCTGACGTGGGACTCGATCCCGGGTCTCCAGGATCACACCCCGGCCTGCAGGCGGCACTAAACCCCTGCGCCACCAGGGCTGCCCTTCCAAGGTATTTCAAACTCAGAGTGTCCCAAATCAAACTCACTATCTTAAAACCTATTTCTCCTCCAAGTCTCTTGAGGTTACAAACTACCCAGCCACACAGTGGCCTTGTCCTTGACTCTTTCCTCTGTCTTCTCATCCCCGCCACCAGAATCCTCTCAGTTAAATGCCCTAAATATTTCTAAATTCCACCCACTCCTTTTTATCCCCATGGGCACCTCTCAGATCCAGGACATGTTGACCTCTCATGGAAACACTAATACAGCTCCCTCATAGTCTTCCTGCCTCTGGTCTTACCCTTCTTCCATCCATTCTCCATGGTTCATCAGAGTGATTTCTAAAACCCACCACACAGGCTTTCTTTTCTTTTCTCCTAGGGAAAAGTCCAGGACCTTCACCCTGGACACAAAGCCAGCCAGCCCCACTTTTGCCACCTAACCTCTCACTCTACCCTGGAGCCTCACCTCTTGCAGGGCTTGCTTGTCCCTCATGGTACACTCTTCCCACCTCATCTTGCCTTGCTAATGCCAGTTCCCCTAATAGGCTTCAACCTAGACATCACAGATTTCTTCAGGAGCTTGTTCCTTCACTATGTTCCTGTCATATCCCCTAATCTAGTACTAATCACACCCCATTGCAATTGCTTATTTATTTTTTATCCTCCAATATGTATATATATTACCATAAGTATTTGCTGACTGCTCTACTGATAACAATTCACCCAAAACATTTTGAATATGAAAGTACCATGTTTAATGCAGGGGTGCCTGGGTGGCATAGTTGGTTAAGCGCCCGATTCTTTTTTTTTTTTTTTTTTTAAGATTTTATTTAGGGATCCATGGGTGGCGCAGCGGTTTGGCGCCTGCCTTTGGCCCAGGGCGCGATCCTGGAGACCAGGGATCGACTCCCACGTCGGGCTCCCGGTGCATGGAGCCTGCTTCTCCCTCTGCCTGTGTCTCTGCCTCTCTCTCTCTCTCTCTCTCTGTGACTATCATAAATAAATAAATAAATAAATAAATAAATAAATAAATAAATAAATTTTTAAAAAAGAATTTATTTGGGTGGTGGAGCAGGAGGAGGAGGAGGAAGAGACAGAAGCAGACTCCCTGCTGAGCAGAGAACCCCCCCCTCAATGTAGAGCTCCATCCTGGGACCCCAGGATCATGACTTTAGCCAAAGCCAGAGGCTTAACCAACTGAGCCACCTAGGCGCCCCAGCATCCAACTCTTGATTTCAGCTCAGGTCATGATCTCAGAGTCATGAGATCAAGGTGGTGTTGGGCTCTACACTCAGTAGGGAGTTTGCTTCTCTCCCTCCCCCTCTTTCTGCTCAAGCTCTCTCAAATAAATAAATCTTAAAAAAAAAAAAGTACTGTGTTTAATGGAGAAAGGCTAGACACCCAAAATATTCCATGTGCCCTACAAAGCACAGTATTTTAGAATGTACTTTTACACTGGGATCCCAATTAAGGGATAAAATGGAATCCTGAGCATGGGACAATATAGGGAGGGAGAGCTGAGGCCAGACTGCTAGAGCAGGCAAGTAAGTTAAATCCACAGGGGCCAGAGGAAGCCGTTAGAAATGAGGCTGGAGGGGCACGTCTGGCTGGCTCAGTCGGTGGAGCGTGCAACTCGATATCAGGTTTGTGAGTTCAAGCCCCACATTGGGTGTAGAGATTACTTAAAAATAAAATTTTAAAAAAATCAGGCTGAAGAGGTAAGCAAGGGCTTGCCATAGGGCCTTATGGAGTGGCTGGGGGGTTTGGAATTTACCCCCAGGGCACTGGGGACCCATCTGTGGGCTTGAAGCAGAGGGATTTTGTGATTACATCTGGTCTTTGGAAAAGTCACTCTAGCAGTTGTGTGGAGAGAGGAGGCAGGAAGGAGTGAGGTGTCTGAAGGTATAATTAGGAGAAATGATACTGGCCTGGGTCTGATGGAGGCAGAGGGGATGGAAAGGCTAGTGAAGAGATGTTCCAAAGGCAGAGTAGAAAAATGGTTTGGTGACAATATGGTGTGGGAGGTGAGAGAGTGAAGCCCAAATTTCTGGCCTGGTGATGGCTGGATGGTGGTATCATTCACTAAAAAGGGACAGCCGTTACGACAGAAGCAGGTTGGGAGGAGAGTAACAAGGCCAGTAAGGTGACCTGGGAGCCTTCCAAAAGGAAGTAACCAGAAAGAAGCTGGAAATGTAGATCTGGGGCAAGAAAACATGGGCATGAGCAGGAGGCAGAAACTTGAGAGTCATCCTTGCTGTACTATTAAGTCTTTTTTTTTTTAAGATTTTTAATTTATTTATTCATGAGAGACAGAGAGAGAGAGAGAGGCAGAAACACAGGCAGAGGGAGGAGCAGGCTCCATGCAGGGAGCCCGACGTGGGACTCGATCCCGGGTCTCCAGGATCACGCCCTGGGCCAAAGGCAAGCGCCAAACCACTGAGCCACCCAGGCTGCCCATCCACCCAGGCTGCCCTACTGGTAAGTCTTATAAGATTACTGTTATGTCTGGTGATTAATCTGTTCCCCCCACACCTGCAGTCATACCTTATACTTGCCTCTCTATCCTTGACTTTTAGCTACCAATGCTCATAAAGTTTAGTCTGGCCTCTACAGGCTAAGACTAAATATAAAGCACTTGAGGGCTAGGGGCAGCATCTATATCCAGTATTACTCAGCATGGGCATTGATCTGTATCTCAAGCAGTCACTCAGAACATACTTCTAGATTAAAAATTCATCACTCCAAACACTTCTGCTTCCAAATACCTGAAATTTCCATCATTAGAGCCCTTCCTTTGAGTTAAGGAGTAGTGTCCAACTTGTTTTAGGGGTAGAAACCATTTCTTCCTCATAACATTTAGGGATGTGGGAGAGCATAGAAGGATCAGGGAGGTCCAGAGCCTGCCTGATAGACCTCCCTTCCCCTACTCTTGCCTTTTCAAAGCAAACTCTGAGCTAAAGCATCATCTCCAGAGGATCCCTGTAAAACTGGAAATGTTATCCAACAGTGAGGACCACTGAGCAGCTGGTGAAAGAACTGGAAGAGGGGGTGGGGCTGGAAGATCTGAGCACTCATTCTGTTTTTTCCAACAAGTTACTAGACAAGTCACATCATTTCTTGAATTTAGGACAAAACTGTCTGGCTTTTCTTTCTTTCTTTTTTAAAGATTGTAGTTATTTATTCACAAGAGAGAGAGAGGCAGAGACATAGGGAGAGGGAGAAGCAGGCTCCATGCAGGGAGCCCGATGTGGGACTTGATCCTGGATGCTGGGATCATGCCCTGAGCCGAAGGCAGGTGCTTAACCGCTGAGCCACCCAGGGATCCCAGTGTCTGGGTTTTCAAACAGAGCTGTGAACATCAATTGAAAGGGCAGACGTGGAGACGTTTTGCAAAATGAAAGATGTACAGAGGAGATGGATTACTAAAAGGTGACCAATAGGGGGATCCCTGGGTGGCTCAGTGGTTTAGCGTCTGCCTTCAGCCCAGGGTGTGATCCTGGAGTCCTGGAATCAAGTCCTGCGTCGGGCTCCTTGCATGGAGCCTGCTTCTCCCTCTGCCTGTGTCTCTGCCTCTCTCTGTGTCTCTCTTGAATAAATAAATAAAATCTTAAAAAAAAAAGAGGTGATCAATGCATGCCTGAAAAATGCAGGTTAGAGCACAGAAAAGAAAAGAGCACATCCCCCAAATGTGGGATGTAGGTCTAGGTAAAGTCCTTTAAACTCTAGAAAGCAGTAATTGGAGCTAAGAGGTGAAAAAATAAACGTGGCTTTTTACAGGGGTCTGAAGAAA